ATACTTGTTTTCTGTTGTAAGTACCCTTTGAAAAGGGAAAAAGGGAAGTGAACACGTGCATTAGTCACAGCAGATAAAATATTTTTCTTTTCATTGTACATATGTATATATAAATATATATTTTTAAATGGTCAGGTACCAAAATAATTACTACTCACACCTTTCCATCCAACTTTATTGTTTACTACTGCATGTGTAAGGTTTAGCTGAAAACCAACACAGGAATAAGAAATGCCTGGCAACTTTGGACCGCTTCCCAAATATTTTCCAGCACACATTCGAGGGAACTGTAGTTTATCTTGCTTCAATAATTATAGTCCATGACAGAGGTGCTCACTTCCAAAAATCAGAAGGGTCCAGTGTGTCAGAGCAGTTTTCCTCCCCTGCCATGGGATTGGCACATGTATTTACATCTGTGCTCAGCAGATGAGACTATCTGGGACAGCCGGGGACTATCTCTTGGTAGCACTTTAGATCATCCTACCATCAGCTTTTCACTTGCCCCTGTAAATCCTCTATTGACACTTCTGTGACACTTCAGGAGGTGAAAAACCCTTGGATGCATCCTTGGGAGCCTGCCAGTATAAACTACCATTGTTCTGAACACTGGGAATCAGTGGTTTGTTACAGAATCTTTCTCTGGGCATGCACTGGTGAAGTTTGGCTTTACTAAAAATATAAATCACTAGTAATTCTATGAAATTATATGATAGCATGTTTTAAAGTTATAAACATTATGTGACAGCATAGCACAGGAAGAAAAAACCTCAGTGATCAAAACCAGTAGTGGCCTTGTTTTTGTAATGCAGGGCAAATAGTACACAACAGACACTCCAAACTATTCCTGCCTCATTGCTTTTCTCCCAGCCTGCCCCATCCTTCTGCAGTCCCCAGCTCACCTCACACTTCCTGAGCTGGCAGCCACAAAGCCTCCACTCAGTGTAGCCTTCCCACTCCTCCCCTCAGTCCCGAGTACCAGCACAGCTCTTCTGTTCCTAGCTCCAAACACAGCTCCAGTGCCTGCTTCTCTCCTGGTCACAGCCGCCAGGCATCCTACTCTCCATCTTCACAGCCAAGTCACAGCTGGGCTATTTAGAAGCTCCTAAGTTTCATTCACCACTGGCATACAATGTTGCTGGCGTTGTGACATTTCACCACTGACCTTATAGATTCCTTCCTTGCCTACAAGAGAGTATGGAAAAACAGAGAACTGACTAAATAGAGTAATTCCAGTTAAACACTTTATGGAATTCTTTTTACCATGCTTTATCATTTAATGGTTGGGGATATTTTTTTTCCAGTCTTCCCCATGTCTCACAATGACTTCAGAATAAACTCTAATTCTCCTGATAGTTTGAAACCTTCCACACCAGTTTATTTATTCATTGTTACTGGTGATACTTGTTTTGAACAGGCATTGTCCTTTATCTTAAGGAGTAAAGAGCTTAACCTGAAAGTATTTGAAGAGAAGACTTATGTCCTCTTACAATATTCACTTTTCTAGACTAATTACACAAACTTCTTGAGTATAAATTTAGTTTCTTGCAGACATCCATGTTTCCACTACCTGTTATCTAATCCAACTGGAAAGAGCAAAATCAACTCAGCAGTTTTGTGTCCAAGAAAACGAGTTCTCCTAAACCCATGGTTACGTAGCTTCCAGATGTGCCAGGGCTTGATCTGCCAGCAAACCACAGGGAGGCAGAGCAAAAACCATTGCAGTATAACCCTTTCTCCACTCACAGAAACTATTAACCTGATAATCTTAGTGTATCCTCATCTGTCCAAATCAAACTCCACCTTTCTTGAACACTTAAGCACACTGTATTATAGCAGTTAAGAAAAAGCATCTCTGATAGAAGTTGGGGAAGAATAGGTCAGATTGTATCTCATACATTGCAGGCTGTATTTCTCATTATTCCCACATACTTGCCATTTCTAGTCACCTGCGATTATCTAGGCCTTCCTCCACATACTACATTTTCAAGTGGTGAGCTCCTCAAATAAATTATTTTTATTTCCTATATACATATATGTTGCCATCTTATTGCAAAGGTTTCGTACCTTCTTGGTGATTCCTCATGGGCAGCTCCTCACTGCACTCACTCCTTCCTTTTCTCAGTACAACCAACAAACTCCATCCAACTTTTCCTCCAGTTAACTTACTCTTACAATACCCATCCTAATTGGATCTAGTTATGGCCTATTAAGGGCAGGCCTGTTCCTAATGCTTGATAATTAGCACAGCTGTAACTCCTTAGGGGTGAGATTACCTTCATCACTATCTCTATTTTCCTACATTCCACCCATCCACACATATATTTTGCTATTAAATTCCAGCCTATTTCTATTACATTCTGTGTTATTTTTGTTGTTGCCTTGGTTTGATTTATGTCTTTTTTCTTTATATCTTTAATACTCCTCTGTGTATTAAGCAATTAATCAAAACATTAACATTAGAGTCAATCCTTGGGTTGACTTTGAATTAGAGTCAATTTCTTGGATAACTTTGCCAGTACCTTTCCTCCACAATGACAGTACTCTTAACATAATGTTATCTCCCCTTTTACCAAGTCAAAACTCTTAAAGCCTTAAATTCTTGTAAGAATCCCCCTCTTTTCTAGCTGAACTATTAATTTTCCATGGAGTAGTGAATCTTTCCATTCAATACAAGTTAAAGACTTGAGGCTGCTAAAGAAAAATGCAAATATAAATAGTAAATAAAATAACAACAAAGACTTGTAAATTCTGTATAAATATTTTATTATGTATAAAAGACAACTTACATGGATAGGTGCTCTATTAGAACAAATACTGGCTGTTTTCATTAAAAGATTCAAATGCTATAAAAAGCATTTCAGAATGTCTCTTCCATCTTCTGCGCTGACATTTTTCTTAGGGACTCATACCAAGCAGCAAACATAGCAGTGGCTGGTGTTTCTAATGATGCTATGACAAAGCAAAAGGAAGGCACCATATGGCATCCAAATTTGGATTCAAGGCAGGAGTTCCTTGTTTCCAAGTCAACAAAACCAGGCAGAGTTATGGAGTCAAATACTCAGTCCATAGACTTTTAAACAGATTTTGCAAAACATCTCCTTTGGGATGTCAGCTGGCTCTGGCAAATACAAATTTCTTCATTTGATTTAAGATGGAGACAATTGAAAATAACAATGGGATAGAAAAAAAAAACCAAAACCAAGAAAGATGGAATAATTGGAAGCCCTGGAAAAATCACAAGGCAGGCTTGTTCAAGGAAAATACTCCCAACAGAATACCTGGTTTTCTTACAGTACACATATATACTCAACACAAGAATAACATTTTAAAGTCCTTATGTAAGCATTTAATCCTCTCGTAGATCAGATCAATTTTGTTTAGTCTTACTATGTTGTTTAGGAGATCCATACAAAGGAGATTTTGTTTTTCTTTTCTCTAAACCTTGAAAAGGCACCACAAAAAGGAATCAAAACACTTTAACAGTGCAACTCTAGTAGCTAGGTGGCAATGTGAAATTTCATGTACACCATTAAAACTAGAGATTTTAAATTTCTAACCTGTCTTTGACTTCCAAAGGCTACAGAATCAAAGAAAAATGTTGTCATTTTAAAAAACAGTTGCGAAACTTTTGCTAAGTTTATTTAGGTGAAATATTTATGATTCTCAGTATGTAAACTACCTCCCAAAAACCACTCAGAGCCTGACATGTAAACAGTTAACTATATATAATTACATATGTATCCTAGTAGGATATGCAGTTTTGAACATTGTTCAAGCCATAACATGGACACAGGGCACAAGGTTTCAAGGTTTCTCTCAAAAATGGGAATGTAAGGTTAGTGCAGTGATACTAAAGTTATCCAAAGTATTGTGCAAGGGAGGGTTTTCTTTCAGCTGTCATAGGAAAAGTAATAATAACAAAAAAAAAAAAAAACCCAAACAAACAAAATTACTCCCAAAAGACCAAACTTCCAGGTGTCCACTCTTTCTGTTAGGCACCAGATAGTAAAAAACTTCTCTGAATACTTCAGTAGTCACATTTCCATCCTACAGAACTCTGTATTTGCCTATGGGTTCAGCAAGTTGAAATGGGAAGATTCCAGTTCTTACTGTTGAAGAACAGTAAAACTTACTGTTTCCAGTTCTTACTGTTGAAGAACAGAATAAAGTTAAAAGCAGTATTTTAATTAAATGATAAAAATGTAACAACTATTTTCTTTTAATATTTACATTTGGGTTTGGCATATTAGCTAGAACAATGAAAGTGGCTTGTGCTTTGGTGATGAGAACAATGCCTGGCTTCAAACTCTCCAATGTGACATTTAAACTTTCATTTTTAAGACTTTATTTCTTAAAAATATATAGAAACATTTTATGGAGATTATGTTTAGATAAATTTGTATATGTTCTGTATTTCAAGTCTAAACAACGTGACGTAAGTTGTATCTTTTCTATCCTTACTTTTCATATTACTGGAATTTTTTTTAAATACATGCAGAGTAAATGTTTTTACATATTAAAAAATGATCTCATAATTTCATTGTTACGTGGAAACTTTTAAAAAACACTGGATGACAAGAAACAGGAAAATATAAACTTAGACATGCAGCTAATTTCCACATACTGTACAATAATCCCCTTGCTCTCAAATGCACTCACTGAGTAGCAGCGTAACAAAATCACTGAATGATACTGACATGTCTGAATTTACTTTTGGTTGGCTTTTTTCAATGCATGTGTTGTTATTACAAGGAATTCTCCCAGATAAAAGGAGACTCCCAGTGCAAGAAGGAATCTTTTTGGCATATATTTTCATATGTGTAATTAAGTGTTACAGGAGAGGTAATTGCTCTTATGTACTGCTAGAACTCAGGCAGAACATAATACTTCATGATATTGTCAAATACCTGCAAACCAGAGAACAAGTGTGTTTTAAACTTCTGCAAAATGCAAACCTGTTTCCATAAAAATTGTATTAGTACTTCCAAAACATCCGAGTTTCACTTCCTGTCAGAAAATCTGACATTGATGGAATTTCCAGGAGTCAAAAGTCCATGAGTTTTGGCACGAACTGGTTCCGTTTTGGGAGAAATTTTGATTTCAAAATTCTGAAGTAGCTGTGAACATAAACAGAACAAGTATTAGAAAAACTGCAAAATTACCAGTGAAGAGTAGCCTTTAAACAAGAGAACATAAGAGACTGTCACAAGCAAAATTTGTGTTGCCAGTTTGGCAGAGTTTAAGTGCTATGATTCCCATCCAGGAAACAAAAAGAAGGTGTTACAAGGTAAAGATTATAATTGAAAATCTTCCTCCTCTGATGGAGGGAGGACTGAGCAAGACCTTTCTGAAGAAATCCCACAGAACCAGATTAATCAGTCTGAACTATCAAAGAAACTAAGGTCTCTTCCAAACTTTGTCAGGTTCCCCTCTATGTGTTTTTGATTTCACTTCCTTTAATATCAATCAATATGTGAAATTATTAAGAAAGCTGTAGGAATTCCAATCCCATCAAACTCATTTTTCTGAATGAAGAATACCTCAGCTACCTACTTTTACACTTACAAGAGGGAAATACTGCAATATCCTCAACTTCTCATAATAAATCTCAAACACTTTTTGCTGCAAATTAAGTAATTTTCTCTAGTTCTTCTCCTAGGATGACTGCTAACCAATATATTATTTTCCTATACATAACTACAGTTTTCAGTATGAGATATGTGACAAAGCTTTTATTTAATTTTTCTCTTTTTAAAATCCCTCTTGTTATTATCTTTGTCTTCCAAATTTCCTTGAATTTGGCTATATTGTCCTTAAAATGCAATGCATGGGGATGGCTGTTTATTGTTGCTAAGTGAATTTGGCAAGACTGAGTAATTCAGCTCCTCTTTCTGACATACAAAATGCTTGCTAATGCTGCTAATATTATCTAGAATCACATTGCCTTGTCAGAATTGAATTATTTTTTACTATATCACTCCAGTCTTTTCCTACAGTACTAATATTACTCAGTTCTTCATAAATTTGTATTTATGCATTTATTTCTTCTCAAGGGCACTAACTTGCAACTGTCATTAATGAGTAATTTTGTGTTGCTTCTAGAACATTTCTCCTTTTTCTTCAAAATTCTATATTCACATCCCCTGATTTTAAATTAATTCACATCAGCTTGGTATCGCATGCAAGCTGTAAAAGTATTCTCTAATCCATCACTTACAATGTTAATGAAAATAACAGCCTAAATCAAATGCAGGACAGACTTTTACAGAATTTTAATTAAATGCTTTCCAGTTCAACAGCAATTATTCTATAACTACTGCCTCCAGCTATTTCCTTTTTACAACCAGCTGTGCATGCATTTTGTGGGCACTTCTATCTGGAACAAATTTTATTAATTTAATTGAGAGCAAAAACATACAGGACGTGTGAAAATACTTCCTGAAGTCAGAGTACATGACTTACTTTATACCCCCACATGAGGTAAGTGATAAGTCAAAGAAAGAAATCAGATTGGTCTGAAACATTTTCTCTTTGATGAGCTCCATGTGTTTCTAATTTTAAATCACTTAAGTATAATTTCTGTGTTTGTAAATAGGTTGTGTGCTGTTTTGCTCTAGTTTCCTTCCAGAAAACAAAGTAGGTTCTCCATTGCTTCCTTAAGCCTTTTAAAAAAGATGGAAGTGTGTTTGTTTTACCAAGCCCCTGGGAGCTCTCTCACTCTCAGCTCCAAAAGACAGGCACTAATTGTTCAGAGATTGCTCTAGAAATTTACTGAAGGAAACTCAAAGACAAACTCAATCAACCTTTCCTTTGAATACATAAAATGGATCTAAATATTTTTATAGTTAATTAACTAGAAATAGTTACCAAATCTTTGCAATTTGATTGCACAAACTGTACTCATTATATCAGCTATAGACTGTCTTGTAAATGACAAAAAATACAGAAAATGTAATGACAAAATAGAAAATGTAAATGACAAAAAATATAGCTGTTGGGAACATTTTCTTTATGATATGAACCAATCAAAACCAATACATCTCAATATGTACTATTTATATAACTATAAATTATGTACATCTAAAATGATAATGAGTTAGAAGAAAGAACCAGGAGACAGAAAAGCCCAGAACATGGAGAAATTATACTGTTTGTCATCACACTGTGATCAGTACAAGGATATAAAATCCATTTTACATCTTTGTAAGTTCTGTAAAACACAGAAACCATTCTAATAGACATTAAGAAAGATTTCTGATTTGCTTACAAAAGCCTTCTGTACCAAATCTATGTATTTCCTTAACAAACTTACCTTTAGTTTCACATCCTGTGTACCATACCATTAGGTACTGTGCTATATTTCAAGCATGATTATTTTCAATTTTCTAGTCTTTGCAGCTTGAGTACATTAAAGAACACTCCAAAACAAAGATTTTGACCACTGTAGGATACCCAGAAATGGCATACATAAAAAAAATAATACCAATTCACTTCCTTCTTGTAATGCTGTCACACAGTTCTGACCTGAATCAGTGCAAGATGGATTTCCAGCTCTGCAATTCTTTTTCCTATACAACTTCTAATGCCATAACCAAAAGGGATGGAGCCAAAGTTGTCTACTCTGTCCAAGTTATCTTTCCTCAGCCAGCGCTCAGGTCGGAACTCATTTGCCACGGAGAAATTCTCTTCACTGTATGAAGTAGCATAATGACAAAGTGCCAGCTGGGTCTGAGGAAATAAATGATATTTACATTTAGCTAGCTCCAATGCACGTAACAAAATTCAAAAGCATTTGCAATTACTGTAATTTCTGCAATAATAGGTGATAAAAATTAAGCAACTCTGAGTAATTCTGAAGACAAAAGGGAAAAAAAATCAAAAATCAAATCCCTTTCTCGATTGGTCAAAGGAAATAATCTTCAAATTGTTTTCAAAGTTGCTGCATCAATTAGAGAAGATGCAGTGGGGAGGGAGATAGGAACAAGTCACAAGTATTGGGAATTGTTTCACGAAGTTGCCATGAAAAAAAGGGAGAAATTTTCCACAAAGGGAATTAACAGACAAAGAATTGGAAAACTGCAAGAATAATGAAATCCATGCTTCTTAAATTGAATTGTACCATTCCACAGATATGTTATTAATAGACTCCACCCTCAAGAATATTAAGATGAAGTCATGAGGATAAATTTCATTTGCAGGTGAGGACTCAAATAAAAAATATCAAAACAACAGCAACAGGTCTATCATAAAATCTATTTGTGGCATAAAATGAAATACCTTCCTCTTAATGTTCTAGCATGGAGAAATCTTTTAAAATCAATGAAGTGTATATATGTTGGAGCAGATCATATTTAATTTGCAAAAAATAAACTGTTCTCTGCAGAGGACTGCAACAGAACCTACCCCTTTAGGTATCAAGTATCCTCCAATGATCAAGTCTTTTTGGGTCACTCTTCCATTTCCTGGCAATACTGGATATAACCTAGTGAGAAATATTTATCTGAAGTTCAACAGTAATAACTAACACAATTTTTAAAATGTTTAGATTCCAATTTGCATTCACAAATATGCAAGATGAATGCCATATTCAGTCACACCAATAATGTTTTTCAGGAGTACAGAACACTTTGGAGCTTCAAAGACCTTGAATCATCTGTGAGAATATGACCATCATCTGAGAAAAGTTATTTATTAGTAACTGAAGGTTGAGCTATTTGATCTATGCATTTATTCACTTTACACATGTACAAGCATGAAGGTAGGTCGTCAAGCTGGAGACATTTTAGCACTGCTGCTAAAGCTGAAAAAGCCTTATTGATGCCTTCTCTAAAATCCTCTTACTCCCCTCACCTCATGATGAACATTTAGCATAAACATATTTTAAAAAAAAAGTATGTCACATGCCTTTAATTTAAATCAAAAAGCTTAAAATTATTGAAGTGGGAACTGCAAAGTACCAGTGTGGGGGAGAAGGCTGTTACATTTTATCATACAGACTAAAGGGAAAAATCAAGCTTTCTATTCCCTGCCTTAACAGACATGTCCTACCTATGTGATACCACTTCTACCAAACTGAGAAACATTAAACATTACATAATCTATCTTATGCATTGCTTGAGCATGCTTGGACACAATGCTACTGAAATAAATAAAAGCAGAAGCAGCAAAGTGCAGTAGCAACAATAAACTACAAACGCTAAAATGGACTCAAAATTCATTAGAATAACATGGAATTGAATCTTTTAGTTGTCTGCTACTTACCTCAAGGTTTCTTTCAGGACAGCTCTAATCAAAGGCAATTTTGGGACATCATGAGCAACTGGAACTTGATCTTTCCTCAGTTTATTAACTATTTCCTCATAAACACGTTGCTGCACCTCTGGGTGCTTTGCCAACAAGTATATGGCCCAGGACAAAGTGAAAGAAGTCTAAGGAAAAACCACAATCATCAAGCCCAAAAAGATTACATTAATAGTAATTTCAAGCCAAGAAAAACAACCAGCTTTCAACTATATGTTTTATATGTTTAAAGTTATGAAACAGGCTGGCAATGATTCACATCTGGATTCAATGGGAGGTTGCCAGATGTTGCCATCCCCTCCTTCATCCCCTTTCCATCTAGAAGTCCACCACATATCAAAACAACCCCTGCTGATATTTTCCCAGTCAAATATAAAAAGCAACAGACAAACCAAATGCAAACCCAACTATGTAAGCAATATTGAAACACAAACACTCCAAACAGCAATGGATTAAGTTAGCTCTTAGTTTTCAATGTGCATTTCACCTTTCCTTCCAACAAAAACACTTCACAGGAAACAAGATAAGAAAATTCTTCTCAGAACATTTCCAACCCCTTTTAAGCATATGGTGGTCCCTTCATAGCATTCACAGGACAGAATTGATATCATCACTGCTAAGATTATCCTTTGGTAAGCAATGCTACACCACTATCATTTAAAAATATTTTGTGTGAAGAAGAAATAGAACACGAGGCAGGACACAGTTCAACTTTGAGCACAAGAGGATTTAAAGAAACCCATCATCTAATCTTTTTTAACCACAGCTGGGAAAAAATCAGCTTGTGGAAATGTCTTATTTTGGTCTTAAGCTTAAGATCAATTTAGAATGCAAATTCATCATGATGGTGACTTTTTATGTCTTGTCCTCAAACTGGGGTATAATGCTTGAAGTACCATTCTCATAAGTTTTTCTTGATTTTCTTGCAATATGGAATGGCTGAGCCTTTTACAATGCAACCCAGTTCTATTTCACTCAGAGGAGCTGGCAATTGTGCAGAACTTCTCTGATATAAACAGTGCTCCTCCCCAGGTTCCCAGTTCCTTCATAACTTCTTAAAAATTAGGACTGTTCCAGCAACAGACAAAATGCATTGTAGCCAACAACTGCCTCACAATTCTGTTGAAAGCTTTCATAATCCTCAAAATCTCTATGTATATTTCTATGATAAAATGAGATCTGAATTGACAGCAGTAGGAAAAAAAAAGGTTCCTTCCATTTTTGTTTTGTACTTGAAAATAAGGAAGTCAGAAGGATAGTCCTCTCAGAAAAAGTCTGTTCCCAACTGAGAAAGCTGAGTCAAATGGAAAGGGAAATTCTTGTTGGCATGAACATTGTCCTTTTATTTTAATGGAAAATGTCACACACTAAAAATGGAAAATTAATGGTCTGAAAGATTAGAAAATGAATGGGATTAATAATTGTGTTTTACTTAAGAACCAACATCAAAAAGCTCTGCAAATTCATATGCCCTTGAGACACTTAACCAATGGAGTAATATTCAGCACATAAAGAAGTTTTACATACGCTCCTTATTTTGGAATTCTAAAGTGATTGCTGCTGGGGTTTTTTTGTTTTCTTTAGAAACCTTACAAACTTCCTTAAGCCACAAAAAATCTGAATCCAATTATCCAGAGAGTTTTTCTTTTCTTTAAGACCATTTTATTTTTTTACTTATTTTAAACCTTTTCACTATAAGACTATTTAAGTCCTACATAGCACTTCTTTACCAAATTAATATAATTGCTTTAAAAAATTTGTTCAGTAACAATCATTTATAGTAGAAGTGTTCACTGATATTCTAAATAACTCTGTATACGTTGTACATACAGTAACTCATCTTTCTTTTCCCTTATTCTTCCAATTGTCACACTGCAGTCAGTACTGAGCTACACTGATTTCACACGCTAGGAATGAAAGGGGAAGATACACACAGGACATTAATGTTTCTCCAAATGTATGGCAAATCAGAAGAATAAAGAATGAGAGACACTTGAAAAACGTTCCCAGGTGTTAACATATTGGATACACCAGCCCCATTAATCCTGAGCCTTTACCTCAGCTCTCTGCCTCAGCCTGACTCTATGTTGCCAGCACAAGCAGGGGTAGAGTGAACTTATGACTTTTCCAAATCATTGCTGGCCTAACACCCCCCCAGTGGGTTCCAGCAGAAAGCAGGTATCTGATCCATAATGTGTGTCCCAGTTGATTTACTTAGCCATACATGAAAATCCATTACCAAACTCTACATGAGTTTATTGATCAATTTTTTTCACCCAAACTTTCAGCTAACCTTTCTATTGTGCTCCACCTAAAGTAGCACAAAAACAAACCTGATAAGAAACTAGTAAAGGAAAATGTATGAAATACAAGCTGAATGTAATGACAGTTGCTATTTTATCTGTTTAATAAGCTGTGGAACAGATTCCCAAGTGATGGGTTCCTGCAAACCACAGCTAGATCAGAACACTGATTTCATTCCAGTGGAGATTACACAGTACAGGAAGCATTTTCTATCACTTTAAAGGCATCATGGCTTAAATGTGTTAGAATTACATCCTTACGAGCAATGTAAGCCTCCTGAAGAGAGCTGCCAGTGATCCTGGTGTACAAAAACAACTATGCACAAGAAAAATGGTAACAAGCTTACTGTGTCCACTCCTGCCAGAAGCATTTCAGTCATGTTGGCATAGATCTCTTCCAAAGTAAGTTCCTTACTCACTAGGAGGTGTGTAAGTAGCCCACCATTCACTGCTTCTCCTTGGTCCAGCTGAGACTGAATAGCCTTCAATTTGTTGTCAACATGGATTTGACCTTGGGGATGCAAAAAAATTGTTAAGCCTCCATTTTTATTTTTCTGCTGCTTCCATTCAGTAATCACATTTCTCACGCTACACTGCACATCCAGGGGAAAAAAATTCATTTTTCTTAAGGAAAAATCCTAGAGTGGTGGTGGAGGTCCTTGGGTACTCATGGCAAGGAAAGACTGAGCTGACAGGAACCTTGGTAGCTCACAGCATGAGAATGCTGAGCACAAAGAGAGCACACAAGAGACTTCAGTTCCTTTCCTTGAGGGAAGCTCGAGGCCAAGTTTTTATGCCCACCTGGCTTGTCTCCTGGTGGCTCTGCAGGAAGTGGTGAACTCTGCAGAGCACGCTGCAGCTCAGCACAGAGAGGCTGCTGCAAGATGCTAGCAGCAACCAGAAGGTCAAAGCCACAGAACTTAATTACTTTGAAGAGAAAGATGAGTACCATAAAGTGATAACAAAAATACAAAACCTTCAGTGAATGACACGCTGAGCAATTTCATCCACAGCTCCATGTACATTCTAGTGACTGCAAACAGCATCTTTGGTCAAGCAAAGGATTTAAGAAGAGAAAAACTCCTTTGAAAGTTAATGGCTCACAGAATGAGCCTACAAAAAACTAAAATGCATGCAGCTTTCTCATATTTGAGAGAGAAAAAGGGTTCAAGTTTTTTTAACATTCAAGAACATGAAAAAAAAATTGCAAAGATAACTCCTTCTTCCTACTTACATGAAAACTGATTTGTAAAGTAGCCTGTAATGTTTTATTTACCAAAAAACCAATATTGCAGTACACCAGTGTACTTTGATGCCAACTTATACACTTGTATATATATAAATAAACTTTACAAAGTGTTTAATTGATTGCCAGAGCCTAGTTTATTAACTTTCTAGTCAGTTTTAGTGGTGATTATGTCAGGGTGCTTATTTAAAATTTTGCTGAAGTCAACAAAACTACCCTCATTAAAATTGAAGTGGCTTAAGACAAAACCTTGGCAAAGCACTTGGACCTGGAATGACAAGTGGGTGCTGAAACAGATGAAGATAAATAAAGAAAGAGCAGTGTAAAATAGGGGAGTTTTGAAATGTACTGGTAAAGTTTGTTTTCAGTAGAATATTTTTTAAAACAGTTCCCCTGGCCAGTCTGCATTTAATATGAAACTTACTTCTGCCACAATGTCTTCTTATAATTTTAGAAGAGAAATGCAGCTTGTTCCGTTCAAACACACACAGAACCTGCAGAAATACAGCTGAACTTTTCTACTACTAAATCTTACTAAATTTGAAGAGTCCATCCCAGGATCTGCAGAACTCTCTCCAGGGTTTTGGAATAAGTGGACGAAGCCATTTGGGAATAGCACCTGCATACATAGTGGTCTTAAACATGCTAAACATCAATTCCAGAGCCTCAATATATTCAACAGTCTGCTGTGGGATGTTGTTTTCCAGGCAGCCCAGCCGGCATTCATACAGAATAGTGGCCACACCTGCACATAAAAAATGAAAGAATTGTCTATACACATGCATGAATACATATTAATAATTTAAGGAATTAACTAGCATTACAAATGGAACTACTTTACAAGAAATTTATTAATATTATTATTACTGCTTCAGCTAGGGAACAGATAAAACAGAAATCCAAGCCACAGTAAAACAGCCCAGCTAAACATTGCAGCAAGAGAGTAGTTGCTATGTCAATAATGCTCAGCATGAGAAGACAGCCAGGAATTCCACCAGAAGTAGAGCAGCCTCCAGCCTGTTCGCTGTGTTTTGCACTGCACTGTGAATCCTGAGCCTGCCCTGCTGGCCTCTGAAAACACAAAGACATTTCTGATAGCTGGTGACAACGGAGGGGTTTCTACCACAGGCTGTGTCTGTCAGCAGCTGGTAGCAAATGAATACCGAGCCTGTGTAAATGGATAAAAAGCTTGCACTCCAGACTGTGCTTTTACTGCACACCCAGTCTCCATCCAGCCCTAAAAAACAGCAAGTGTGACACTGTTGCAAGTCACAATATTGACTGTCTCTTGTTCTGACTTGCTGTAATTTTCACAGATCTTTTTCTGCAGGCACTCCCACTAGACATTATCTTTACTGACAAAAATAATTTTAAATTTTGGTTACTTTCAACTCACTCTTCCTTTCCTAATTTTCCTCCCTGCGAAGATATTTTTCTGCATCTTTTCTTTCTTTTGTGCCTCTTTCAGAGACTGCTGGTTCTTATACATCCTCTCACTGCTTACATGGTCCCTTCAAAGAAATCTCATGTATTGTTCCTCTGAACAGTTACAGCGTAAGTTAAATAAACAGCAAGTCATATAGAAAATAAATGTGCGCCAGGCACAAGTTATAAATTAAAAACTAAAAGAATGGGAAGAATTTAAACCAACCCATCAGTTACAGTGAATCTGTAAGCTCACAGTTTGAAATTCCATAAACTGGTAGTTAAATGCTGTTTTTAGACACTATTAATGTGAAACAGACCAAGCAGGCAGCCAGCAATTTGACACAAAGTGAGCAATCTGGATATTCTTCAAATCCCAAATTACTCAGCTGCCTGTCAGCAAAGAGTACCAATGTTTTTAAAAGGCATTACATATAACAAGATGGGGTTGTATGCAGTCAGTTAAAGAAATACATGAAATGTGTATCACCATGAGATTGCTGTAAGAACATGGGAAATGCCATACAGGCTCAGGCCAGGGTTTTATTCTGCATTCCCTCATTAACTAATGGTAGCCAGAGGCAGATGATCTTAAGGCAAGCATAACAATCCCATACTTGGCATCTGTAGGCAGGGAAAAGCAGTATTTTTTCCCACATTAAGCTATGAACTGAATTTAGATACATCACATGGGGATTCCTCATTGGAATTTGGCTGGTATATAATTAACATGTCTTAGAAGTCACCTGTTAGAAAGTCAGCACTCTTATTCTTGAGGAACTAATGCAGAAATACAGAGTACTGAGACTGTTCAAGACCTTGATTGAACACTTTACCTGTACACCAGTATTTCCATGGGAATTGCTCCTCAATATAAGGACTCTACAAAGGAATTCTACTGATACCCACTGCACTAACTAGGAAGACACACAAATGCAGAATGTCAAACCTCCTTTTTCAGATTAATCACATCAGGGCAAAGTCATTTGACAGAAATTCCTAACCACAACCACACTGCTTTACATCTATTTTCTCTACAGATCCAGCCTGGGCTTACCTTCCATTGAATACTTGAAGAAAAGGTTGTTAACATTGGTCACTGTTTCCCCATCCTCCTCTTGACTTCTGAGGGTGTGGATTCTTTTAATTAAGTCTGTGATAACTTCATTGACTCCTTCAGAGTAAACAGCCACATCTTTGGGTTTCAGAATTTTTTGCCTCAGTACACTTCTCATTTTTAGCCACTGCTCCCCCTCCCTAGAAGAAATTATTAATAATGTCAATGCATCATTTTCCTTAACAATCATCAGCTGGATAAGAGCTCTGCAACAAAACTGTTTGCAGTTTTTCATGTCAGATAAAAGCAAAAGGTGAAATGAAAATTATGATAATGTATATTTTGTATTATGTTCCTACAGTTTTATTCTGTATTTATTGCATGTCCTCATTAAACTTCAGTGTTGCAACATGTCAGTCTCTGGGTTGAGCGACAGAACTCACCCACTCAATGATCTGAATTTGATGAGTGTCCCTATGTTAGTCTTTTAGTAGTAGCTAACGCAAGGAATTAGTAAAATATTCTATTAAAATTACTTTAAATAAACATTCGAATGGGTAGTCTGCAAAACTGCTTTTACAGAGATGCAGTACTTAATTACCAAATAAAGGTCTCACATTCACATCTGACAAATCAACAACTTGAGCTGGTACCATAAATTCCACTACTGATACATCACCTTCAGCCATCACAGTTCTAAACTTACAAAGCAATAAGAGAGAAGAGCTACCTGTAGAGAAACAACTTACAGCTACAGATTCTGCTTTATCTGAGCTATGCACGGAAACCTTGATGCTGAAGACTAAAAATCTGAATTGTAGTATTTATGTGCTTTGTATGAGCAGAGTATTTTAGGAACAGTGGTTCCAGGGATACCTTTCAATTCCTTATGAAAATGGGCAATTATCTTTTATGTGTCTATTTTGTTTCCCATTACTTTTTTTACCTGGAGCAATGCCATTGCAAGGCACAGAAACTTATCAGCCAGCAGAAGAATTTGATCTCTTTAACAGGTATTTCCTGAATCTCCTGATTTAAGGTCTCTTTTCACTAAGTATCAAGGAACTGTTAGTTTGAGTCTCAACTGCAGCTTAAGATTTGAGTCTGCCGTGCAATACATAAAGCCTTTTGCTACCATGAAAAACAGACTGTCCATGACTCAGGAAATTAATTTTCCTCTAAATAAACATCCTATGTCAGTGGGGACTGTGAGTAGTTCCCAGTGGCAATTAACCACACCCACATGTGCTGCCAGGTTATGCAAGCTGTACAGACAGATAGCTCCTCTGGAATCAGGCAGATTCAGAAGTATCTGTCTGGGGATGCACTACAGTGTGAATTGACCATTCTTTACATTTGTCTACTGAGGAGGCATTTCAGTCAACAATAAAGCTTAAACCAATCTGAGCCAACAATTCCCCACAGCACACTGCCTGCTAGATAGAACAGTCTAGAAGTGATGCAATAAACCCACATTCATGCAGTGCAGTGCCAAAGCTAGTATGCTCTATTCTGTAAAACTGCTTGCAGGTAAGTGAGTCAGCTCAAACTCCAGTTGATACACACTCCCAAAGAATGTCTTCATTCAAAGTAGCTCACTGCACACTTAACTACACATCACTGCCATCCCTTTGAAACTTCACAGCAGAACAAATTCACAGCATTCATCACAAATACCTACTCCCTTCTCCCCACCGGCCACATAAATTTCCCCACACAGAAAAGCCTGATTTCCCAGATGACCTGTACAGTCCTTCAGAAAATCACCAAACTTGCACAAGAAAACAAGGAAAGTGAAGGGCTGGCGGCACTTACGCAGAAATGAGCCCCGTGGCTCTGCCCCGTAAATCTCTGTACTCCTGCCAGGATTCCATGTTGGCTCTTTGTGGTGCTCTGCCTTCTGCTCGGAGCACTTGAGCAACCATGTCTCGATCTGCAATGGATACAACAAACTGGGGACCAAAGTGAGACTTGAAGATCTTTCCATATTCCTGAGTGTGTTTTTGCTACAGCATCACCAACAAAGAGAAACAGAAGTCAAGTATTACTAAGGAAAACTATGACAAAAGGAAACTGACAATTTGTTATACACAAACTCTCACATCTAGAATTTCATCCCCAGCCTTCCAGTCAAGGAACAGTTTGAAATGTCAGGAGAAGCATGTAAGCATTACTGTGAAATATTCACAAGGAAAACAGAGAGGTCACACAGTTCAGGACCCTGACTGGAAAGACCCAAAGCTCTAAGGCACAGAATGTGAGTGAAACCAAACACTGAGAAGATGAAAGGACTTCAAAACACATCCCTTCAGATCAAACAGGTTGGCAAGAATGTCTGCAAAAATGAAAAACATGGAAGCATATAGGGTTAAATTACCAGTATAATACGAAGATATATTTTGTGAATAACTACTTGCTCTACCATTTAATCGCTTATAAAGCAGCTATGTATAAATTTCTTGCACCTAACCAAGAATAATGACAGTCCAACAGCCTAGTGAAACACTGCATTTTGGAACAGATTTGTCAGCAGTGAACTTGAGAGAGACATATGTTAATTCTGCAAAAGAAAGGAAAAGGTGGGGTCTTATTCTTCAAGTGGGGTTTATTAAGTGATTGATCCACAAATCTTGTGATTCAGTCTGAAGGCAAATAAGAGGATTGGAAATTAATAAAGAGGATTGGAAAACATTAAGCTGTGTCTATATATTAAAACAAACAAACAAAACCAACCCAAAAAGTTTTCCGGTAAGGTTGCACTATCACTGTCCCATGAAATCTTACTGATTATTTCAAATAAATTTTATTCTGACATGGTCATGAAGTGAAATTCTCAAGTCTTACAAATTCACTTGGAGTCCAGGTTCATCCTTATTTCAGAGGGGGGAAACCCCCACCCCCAAACTGCAAAGCAGTTATTAAAAATATATTATTAAGACTCTGAAAATCAATTTTAAAGCCTTTATTTCTGGTTAAAGTATTAAGACAAGTTAAACTGACCAAAGTTATTATGACATTACCTACATTCTAAGCCAAAGACATCTGCACACAGAGTTATGCTGGTTATAAACCAAAGATGGTTGACACCAACTGCACTTGTGAAAATCCAGTATTGACCCAAGATTAATGTATGTAAAATATATTTTATTCAATCTTAGTTACAGAGATGAATTGTTTAATTGCCAACAATAAGTTTAAGACACATGAATCACTCTTCAGAACACGATACCAAGTACACTTAAAAAAATGTAATTATTTTTGTCTAGTTTCCAAATAAAACATGAATTGTGCAATTGTGGTCTCTGTCAGTCACCTCTTAACTACTTTTGGAACACAATGGGCAACTTCAGTCGAAGTTCTAAAGGTCTCCCACAATATTCTTACCATTTTTCTAAAATCAGCACCTAGATTCATGTAAGACACATGTATTAGTCACCCTGATGAGGGAAATGCTACAGCAGGAACTTCGTTGTCATTTCTGCGTGGTCTGCTCCTAACCAACATCACAGACAGAGCAATGCATGAACAAGCTCTCCCAAAACCCAAAGCATCTCTTGCCTTATAAATACTTTAGGGATACTGAACTTGGAAATAATAACTGTGAGAGTATGTGTCTTGAAAGGAAAGCATGAGTTGGGAAAGGAGTGTGGCAAGGAAAAATCAGTGGGGTGAGGGGACTACAGGCCACCAGTCACAGAAAAACAGGTTCAACAAATTTTGGTATTTATGGAGCAGTTTATTTTTTTCAGTGATGGTGATGTTTACATGTGACAACAACCTTCAACAGAAAATAAATCAAGTGACAAGCTATCCAATCAAATAAATTAAATACTAGTTTTAAACCAGGAATGGACAGGGACAAAGTATTTGGACATCCCTTTCTTTCAACAGACTGAACACCATTCTATCAACTTCATGTATAAAAAAAATCTCCAGGATTTCTATTTCTGTATTTTCCATCACAACATGGGTTTTTCTTTCCCTCATTCCAAACCTTGAAAATATTCCACTCTAGTGCCTCACATACCACTCTCACACCAGTCATTCTTTCACTCACCATAAATTCAAACTGCCAGCATCCAAATCCCTCCCTCCTCACCTTTCTCTTCTTTATCCTTGCATAGCACTGATGAGACGAAAGAGATCCAACCTCACCAAATTAAAAATACTTTCCCTTTGTCATAATTGCTGTAGGCATTACTACTTTGGCCAGGACTAACTGGAATCGTGTTACTGAGAACAGAACCTCCTTTGTGAAAAGGCTCTGGGCTTCCCCACCCCTTCTGCATATAGCACACAAATATTTGTGTGCACCAAAGGACATTGTTTAAGTAGCTGTGCTGGTTACCAAAGGGTTTGGGATTGATTCGTTCCTGATGTTCACTGTATTGTTAAATTTAACAGACTGTTAAATTTAATGCCTACTTGCATTCTACGTGTAGGCAAACAGGGCATCCTGTGATTCTTGAGACTCTAGGCAGAATAAAAACTAGTATTATATTGCAACTTCTCCTTATCCTTCCTCACATTTTCCTTTCTAGGAACAGTACTCACCCATATCAGCTAGTCGTAGCAAAAAGGATATGCTATTTAGGATGTCTTATATTCTTTTTAATATTTTTAATAATTTCCACTGTTTTGATAGGGAAAGAACATGAAACCAATGGCAGCATCTTTTTTAGTGTTACGAAACTACAATGAGTACCTCTCAAATTCTGTACACCACCACAGAGTTAGAGGAAAAAAAAAACCAGAATGAAACAAAGAGCTTTAGTTGTCTTTAACTTTCATGTGTATGTCTTAGTTAGCAGGCAATCAAGCTGAGCAATTCATCATTAGCAATCTAGTTTGGGTGCCATGGAATAGAGCATACATCCTAGAATTTCTTCTCAAAAATCTAAATGGTAAATATAAGAAAGCTGGACAAAACTAAGCAATTTATGTGAGTCTTTATTTTTCTCTCTTCTGCCTCTTCCTGGTGTTTTTAGGCCCTTTGTAGATCTCAACTTTCAAGTTTTGATTCATTTAAAGTCCGGTTTTCTTTACTTTCCCTTTTCTATTTTTATTTCCCCTTCTCTCTCTTCTTTCTTCCTGAAATTTCAGTAATTTTCAGGCAGGAAACCTCTTGGGGCTGACTGTGAATTTCTTCCTAGCGATCTGGGAAAGGTCACTAAGAAAAGCAAAATAATAAATGCCCCATTTGAGGTATTCCCAATGAGATATGTACTGCCGGTGGAAAGCGTATGGATCCTAAGATGCAAGAGAGTGAAACACGCAGCTTTACTCCCTTATACACAAAGCGCTTCCTTTAGAATCGCTTGGACTACGCGGGGAAAGGGCCCCAGGAGATGCACTGTGACTTTTCAGGAATGAAGCCCACATGTTTGGCCAAGCAACCAAAAGAATTCATCTCTGGATAGCGACAGCCTTACGGTAAGAGTGCTGCCCATGCCAGCATCCCCGAGGCGCTGCACAAAGATCCTTGTTCCCCCAGCTCCCTCAGGGATAACGCGCCTCGCCCACCCTCACCAGGTGCGCCCGGCGGAGGGGACGCGCCGCGGCCCGCGGGACTCCGCAGCAGCGGAGGTGCCCAGTCCAGAGGACGCTGCTCAAGCCCCAGCCGGCCTCTGGCTCGCTCGACCGCCTCCCCCCGCTCCGGCACCGCCACACGCCAGGTGACAGGAGCGGCTCTCGGCCGGCCCTCCCTCCTTCCCTTCCCTCCCCTCACGCCGCCATCCGGCCCCGCTTCCCGCCTCCCGCTCCCCTCCCCCGCGCCAATGTGGCGGCCGGGGAGGGGGCGGCAGGGCCGGCCGCGCCAGTCGCCGCCACTCGCGGGCCTGTCCCTCGCCCCCCCGGCGCGGTTCAAACCGCCCGCCTCCCGCCGAAGGGACGGGGGCGGCCGCGGGGAGCCGGCCAGCGCTGACGGCAGCGGGGCCAGACGCATCTACCTCTCCCTCAGGGCACCGAGCTAGGCAGAGTGTATTTATGTAAGGGGAGGCCGGGGTAGGAGAGACAAAATGGTCTCTGAGCACGGCGGAGCAGCGCCGGGCCGGGCTGAGGGAAGGGCAGCGGCCGCGGCAGGGCTGGGGCGGCCCCGGGTGCCGGCACAGCCTCACCGCGCGGGTGGGTGCTGCGGTCTAAGAGCCCGGGGAAGCCCACGTTTCCCAGCCCTGCCCGCCAAAAATAAGCCCTCTGCAAGCTTGTGAAACAGCCCAGTTTAAAAAAAAAAAAAAAAAAAAAGTGTTTTTTTTTTCTTCTTTCAGCTTGAGGCACCTCCCCAGCGGTTCAAAACGCGCACAAAGATGCGCGGGGAGCGCTCGCGGGCGCCGGGATCGTGGGATCCCCCGCGAAACAAAAGTGCCGGAGACTCCAGTGCTGCGGGCACTGGGGCGGGGGATCCCCTCAAACCGGCTCTCCCCTGCGGGAAGGCGGCGCCGCGATGCCAAGCAGCGGTGCTGCTATCCCGGCGATTCACCGGCGCTTTACCGGGGGAGGAAAGGTTTAAGTAACCCTGGCGTGATTAAAGCTTTAAGTACCCGAGGGAGCTGTACCTGGATTTCATGAATGCGGCCGAAGCCGTCCTTCCAGAAGAACTCGTAGAGGTTGTAGAGGGTGTTGGGTCCGGGCATTTCGTGCAGGCTCTTCACCCTGCCCAGGCGGCGCGGGGGGGGCTCCAGCAGCTCCGCTCCGCGCCCCTCGCCTTTGTTCCCCGCCGCTGCCCGCGGGCTGCTCCGCACTTCCAGGGGCTGGCTGCTGCACAGCCGCGGCTGCCCGGGAAACCTGCTGCTGGCAAAAAGCGCCTGGTAAAAGTAAGTCCTCTCACATTCAAGTGTCTGCTTGCATTTCATCGTCAGAACTCTGGTGAAGAAAGACATGTCTTTTAATTTCAGAAGGGTCCACTTTGCTCCTGCAGCTGCTTTTTATTTGGTTGCTGTTTCTTCGGTGCCTGCTTTAACTTGTACAAGCAGCACTTCTCCAAACTCTTACTGCATGAGCATCAGTTTACACAGACCATTATTTAACGCTCCCTCCCCTAGGGCTGGAAAAGAGGGGTGGGTCTGGGATGAGACTTGAATAGAACGAACCTATTATTTTGTATAATTCAAATCAGATAAATTTACCCATTATACATGCAGCCAAAGTCCAGTTTTTGCCTCTTTCACCCATTAGTTTGGTGAAAAGCTCACCCCATCTTTCTCCTATTTTTTTTTTAAAAACAGGATTCGGCCTATTTTTTTTTTTTTTTTGGTGGCACTAATTCATTCCCCTGTGTTAGAAAATAGGGTATTTTCTGCAAGATGTTCTCTTAGAACCGTACATTATCCTGTAACATATATGAAAAACATTTGTGCATCCACATATAAGTAGCACTGGTCTTACACAATAACCTTACAAAAAAAATTCCTGTAAATTATAATATTCAGAGATGTTATTTGTATTGCAGAATGATTTATCTTTTGGATAGGATCTACTGCATAAACTTCTTGTTTCAACTTCTGCAGAAATCTGCACAGTTTAAGAAGTATTTGTGTTATTTTTGTATGTATTTCTGTGTAATTCCAAAGGTGTTAGTGATTATCTGTAAAATGTTGATTAGTTTCCAAAATTATGTGGAAGAAACTTAGTTTTTAAGTGAGTCAGACACTCAGATAAAATTTGAGGACAGAGGAAAGTCTCAAGGAAGATCCACATTCCTAGAACAGAATTATGAATAAACTGCTGGAAAAGTAAAACTAGTAAGCATCAAAATTATTAGCTTTTGTTTTCCTTATTTATCTTCACTTAGATTTTTGAGGCTGTATTCTGATTAAGCTCTGTGTGCATGCTTACTTTGGGCACTGATAACTCCACTGAAACAAATAACTCTGAATTTAGACAGGCGCATCAGTCTTTATGGATACAGCAGTAAATATTACAGGAATAAAATCTGTTAAAGTACATGCAGGTTTAAGCTAAAATCATGTCTTTGAAATGGACTTCGTCATGATTAAGCTCTGTGTGCATGCTTACTTTGGGCACTGATAACTCCACTGAAACAAATAACTCTGAATTTAGACAGGCGCATCAGTCTTTATGGATACAGCAGTAAATATTACAGGAATAAAATCTGTTAAAGTACATGCAGGTTTAAGCTAAAATGTAAATGTCTTTGAAATGGACTTCATCGTACTAGAAAGGGTCTAGAGAAGAGCAACAGAAAAAGAGAGGTTTTTAAAACCTACATAAGGCTGAGACTTATTTCATCTGGGAAAGATGACTACCACAACCATGACAACAGCCTATAGATGTGTACATCTTTTGTTAAAAAAGGTGCATGTCAGAGAGAGAAGAAAGAAAATGATGGGCTTAGTTTGCAGCTAAAATTTCTGGATTACTTTTCCAGGTTGCCTTGGTACCTCACATTTCAGGTAGCCAAGGCATCGCAGGACATCACATACTTGCTATCACTGAGCTTTGCAAGAACAGGTTTGAAAACATCATCAGGGAACATCTGAAGTTCTCCTTCCTACATTTCTATGAAGTGTAGCTACATTATTTCTTTGCTATCAGTATGGTTGATTTTTTAATTTTAGTTTGAATTCATACATGGTTAAGGTAAAGCATCTGCTGCTATTAATATGCTAGTGAGATAAACTTAGATATATTATGCTGTAAAGGTTACAGTTTTGCAACTGGTAGTAGCTTTCTCTGAGTGTACCTTTTCCCAGTTTCCATATATGGACTCCTCCATTATTTCCCCCTGTTATCCTTTTTACTTGAAAATCATTGTAGGACACATTGTTTCTAGCCACTTGAAAAAGCTTCAGAAGCTTTATCCTTTAAGTACTTCACCAGAACAGTACCAGCTTTCCTTCTGAAAAATTTCTGGAGGTGCCGGTAGTCCCAGCATAGGAACTGCGAGTTGTATAACCCCACCTGCACTCATTTCCTTCTCAGTTTACTTATTGTTAGATTTCTGTTTGCTTGCAATAAAATGGTCTGAAACACAGACCCCATTTTAAAAAACCAACATGTAAACACTCAGAGAATCTGTGATTTCAGTGAATCAGGGAGCTCACCTGGTGCAGCCCATAAAACAGCTGCAGACCTTCAGATCTCATTACTGGCAAACCTCAGCAAATTTTTAATATTTTAAAGAAAGAGTGGAATGTGCCTTTTGAGAAGAGTCCTGACCCAGGAGTGTCTGTGAGACCACCTCCATTACTGCTTACCATCTTGTAATTTTATTACATGGTGACATCAGTTTTTGATAAGCAAAACCAAAACCACACCATCCTGAAGAGTTTCCAGAGTACATCATAGGCAATGGCAGAGGGTAGCAAAGAAATAAATTAAGAAAGCACAAAGTGGCAATGCACTAATGATGAAAATGGCCAGATTTCTTTGATATAACAGAAGGATTTAAAGGGGTGTGTAAACGTGCCATTGTGCAAATCTGTATAGAGCACGTTTCTTGCACAAAAGGAGATGAATAGATTGACAGCCACAGAACCTATTTTTTTGTAGTGCAGGTGGTGCCCAGAGGTACCAGTGGGCCAAAAATATAAATAATAGATATTTCTAGGCAATTTTCCAGAGGGAGTAGAAATTCAGAACCACTAACAGATGCAGGTCTGGTGCACTATTAAAACCTTGCTCTACAATAATCATCAGTAATACCATAGCCACCCATCAGTGCAGATACAAGTTTCTTTTTCTATGTAAACTGTACAAAAAGAATACTGTAGACTACAAAAAGAATACTCTAGACAACAAAAGCCAAATTGTAAGGTGGTTCAATAGCTGAATACAGGAAGGGAATGCTTATGAATGTGAGTGAATACATGTGGGCTACCACAACATGGAATGTGTAATTAAACCATTCACTTCTCTTTGCTGTGCCAGATCATAATTGTGTGGTTCTGTTTAACTTTCAAATTAAGAGTTTTAGTGTGCATATGTGCCACTAACTGACACACTTCACATCCTTACTACTGCAGAATCTGAGCTGGAGGTCAAACTTGCAAACTGCAGAATGTTCAGCAGTCAACATTATGAGTAAACACCAAAATTTATGCGACAAGAGACAGATGAAACTGAAATAAATTTCCTAGAATAGACTTGAAAAAGAGAGAGGAAGAGTAAAGGAAAGGAGCCTACAAACATTTGAAAGTGCAGCAGAAGGTGAAAGGGTTAGAGGGCAACATAAAGTGGTGGAGGGGTTGGCATTGTCTGGTCCCATTTTCCTCCCAAATATGAACACAGACTTGTCTCAGGTAACAGAAGTCCAGTAGTAGTGCCACAGAATTCCCAGGAATAATGGTGAGTATAGTAGCCATTATACAAAACCTCCTTCCAATTCCACATAAAGCCCCCAAACCATAAAGAAAGGAGGAGTTATGCCATCAGCACAAACCAACAAAAACACATTTATGTGACTTAAAAGATTAAATCTTTTCTCCTACTTGTACAACCTACCAGTATAAATATATATATATATTTATCAGACATCTTAATGGATACAGCTGACTCAGAAACACACTCAGAGTTCCTTAAATTTAAACAATGACGTTTGTCCTAGCCTGTTGGTCCTTGGAGTCTGAAAATATGTTTTATGTAACACGTCAGTTGGGACTTATATTATTTCAAACAAGTTGGAGCACATGCCCCTTCACAGCAGACATGTTTCAGTTTTAGTTAACTTTTGCTATGTAACGGGATCACAGTATTAACTAAACTTGGCTTATTGAAAATTTAGATTATGTATTATTTTTGGATAATTTGTCTTCAGACCCACAGTCCTGCTGTTCTCTCAGTCTAGACCCCTCCCAATGGTCTCATTAATTGTATTGTTACCTTCATTTAGTTATTTCTAAATCCAATTTAAACTTGCCCTCCTCTTTGCACGAACTCTGACAAAGTTCAGTCAAAGCTCTTTGTGTCAATACCATTGGTATTCAGAGTCAATGGTTACATTATCATCTTACCAGGAATTGTTTTCTTAGAATTATTCTCACCTCTTAACAGTCTTGGCTATATCTGGTTTCTAATTATTTTAACATAATTTTATTATATCCAGTATGATAAATATTGTACTGTATGTTTCACATAACTGTTGAAATAGCTACAAGTATAAATTATTTGTAAGTATAATTTATGGAATTAAAAGAGATTTGATAGGAGGCATTTATCTTTGCCCAAGTAACACTTTCAGCTAAGACTACACAGACACGCTCTTCAGAACATTTGCAAAGAAAAGCTGAAAAAGGGTTGCAACGTCAGAAATGTAAGCAAAAATTTTGTGTAGTTTAAAACCTTTTCTGAAACTGAAAAAGCCATAGTTAGTCATAATTTTTTGCCTTTTCTGACTGTCCTCAGATCCATCTTCTGAAAGATCCTTCAAGTGAAGATATGTCTTTGGAACTTTAATGCTTTGGAACTTTAAATGCTTTCTAAATTCCTATTTTTTTTCCTGAAAACAAGACAAACTTGAACTTCACAGGCTAAATACTAATAGAAGATTGTACAAAAATAAGGTATTTAAATCAGAACAAGACAGACAATGCTGTTGTGACTTACTGTTCAGCCCTTGATAAAAACCCCATGAATCAACTGTAAAGAATCCAGTTCTACTTGCAGACTTCTTATAGATTTAGATCCTTGCCCTGTGCCTCCTAGGGCATATGGCACTAAGTTATACTGAGAACCACTTGCCTTGAAGTCCAGAGTTCTTAAATACAAAGAGGAAAGTATGGCATTATGAAAAATGACCATCAGGAGGGCATAACTGGCTGTAGTTTGGTGCTTGGGTGAGCTGTAATGCTGTGAAATTGCCACCCCATCATCACTGCACTTTTAGTCTAGAATGCCATTTTAATGAGTAACAGCAGCACCC